GCAATGCTGATTTAGACCTGGTGACTTAAAAATGCATACTACTACATATATTGGATGAAGGATCAGAAGTTTTAAAAAAATGGCACAATTTGTTGAGATTGTGTAATCAAAGCTCTGGCTGTCAGGGTTCCAAAAAACACCCGTAACGAAATAAAACTCCGAGGCTTGTGTTCCCTCAAAGTTTACTACTTTATTAGTGGACATACGTGGAGACTGTAAACATCTGCAGAAGTGTGGGCTTCAATTTTAGTATTTAGTCTTTAGTATTTAGTCGACTACCATCTTAGATTATTTTGACCCTTATCCCTTGCAGACAACACTGCTGATTATAAAAAGACCCATAGCAGTTTATCAACAAATATTGGCAGGCAGCAAGAAGACAGATGACCTTAAACTTCTCTTTCAGAAGTATATGCAGAAAGAAAATTCATAGGAGAAAGCACCAGAGTTTCAAAATAACAAGTACCATAAGATTGCAAATGCAGATGTAAAAGAGACTGGGAAATTATGGAAGGCAGTAAAAAATAAAATAGTGACTTCTGATGAGCCTTGTTCACTAGTAAATACAGAATCTCAACTAGCTGGTCTAAGTACACTATTGAAGATAGTAATTTATATATTCTGCGACAAAACACATTTAAGCTTCTGAGTACTGTAAATGACATGGAGTTAGACAGAATAGAAAAATGATTATAATCATTATATCCATTCTCCTGCCCAGACACTGCAATGGCCGGTATTTCTGAGGCTTGAGAAACATTGAAGGATTTCTTAATCACATTGAATATAAGATTGTAAGATAATTATTATATCCTTTCAATGTACAGTTCTGCCCTTCAAGCCTTTAAGAATTGAATTCTGAGGACATTTTGGGTTTTTAAAGATTATGACATTTTTTGCCTACTAAAAAGTGGAGGCCAAATCCCAGCTGAGGGCTTGAACAATGCTAGGAAAACAGCATAATATCATAATATTGGCTGTCAATAAAAGGTAATGCAAGTGCTTAGCCAAGTTGAAGGTGAGAGGACAAAATATAGAAAAAGTTGAAACAAAAGGCAAAGATATGGTCCAACCCTATAACACGCCTCCGATTGGACTGAAAAATAAATGCTGGACATGCAGGAATCAGTAAAGATTATACTAGAAACAATTATTTTTGTCATTAAACCTCCCTTTAGGGCGTAATCTCAATGTACATACCTTCCCTAAAAATCCAAACACCTTGAAACTACTATTTTGAGAAAGGTGGATTTGTTCTAAGAAAAAAACTAAAAGATTATTCACACCTTTTCTGGACTCTATCTCCACCTTCCAAAGGGGAGATATATCCAGAAGTAGTATTCAGCAGGTTCTGACCAGTTCTGGAGAACCGGTAGCCGAAATTTTGAGTAGTTCGGAGAACCAGTAAATACCATCTCTGACTGGTCCTGCCCCCATCTATTCTCTGCCTTCTGACTCCCAGCATGTTGGGGGGGAATGAGGATTTTGCAGTAACCTTCCCCTGGAGTGGGGTGGGAATGGAGATTTTAACAGATTTTAACTATCCTTCCTTTGCCATGCCCACTAAACCATGCCCACCAAGCCATGCCCACAGAACCGATAGTAAAATAAATAAATAAATCCCACCACTGGGTATATCTCATTCTGCTCTACTACATCATGTGGATCTCTACTTCCCATAAATTGTAAAAAGAAAAAAGAAAGCGCTAAATCATTAAATTATATGGCAGTGGTGCAAGAAGAGATTAAGGTCACCAGCCAATAAAAGGTAATAGTAAAAACTGAACTCAAAACACAAAATAATAGCTCATGGACATCCCACAGACACAAAAGGTTCCCAATCTTTTGTTTCCTAATCTTCAGAAGTACATAGCAGCATTTATACCTCATGCAATTACGGCTTCCAAAATTCAGTTAGATCTTCATATTAATGCATTATATTGCTCTGCCCCCCTACAATACTGGAATATAGGTATTTTAATGTCATATATGGAGTGACTATGCTGTATGTCTAATTTAATGAGGTGATATGATAGCAGTGTTCCAATATCTCAGGGGTTGCCACAAAGAAGAGGGAGTAAAGCTATTCCCGAATGCACCTGAGGGCAGGACAAGAAGCAATGGATGGAAATTAATCAAAGAGAGAAGTAACCTAGAATGAAGGAGAAATTTCCTGACAAAACAGTTAACCAGTGGAACAATTTGACTCCAGAATTTGTGAATGCTACAACACTGGAAGTTTTTAAGAAGTGATTGGACAACCATTTGTTTCAAATGGTTTAGGGTGGTGATGGCACTCATGCCCAAAGTGGCACACGGAACTATGTCACCTGGCATGCGTTACGTCACCCATTCCTCTTCTGGATTTCTGCTGCGCATGCGTGAACGATGCATCAGCTGGCCTTCGTGCGTGTGGTAGTGCTGGAAACTGGAAGAGCTGCTCTTCCGTTTTCCAGTGTGAGTTGATCATTGCATGTGCATGCGCGCCAGTAACTGGAAGATTAGCTTGCTGCTGCACATGCAAGTGCCGGAAACCAGACATTCATTTTCCAGTGCGCCTGCCCCCTGTGCAGCTCCTCTTCTGGGTTGTGGCCCCGACTAGCCCGCTTGCGCTCCCTTTTCTACACTGGTGCCAAAAAGGTTCGCCATCACTCGTAGATTGTTTCCTGAGCAGTGGGACAGCAGGTTTTCTGAGCAGAGAGTTGGACAGAAGACCTCTAGTTTTCCTTCCAACTCTGTTATTCTATTATTGTTATTCAAATAAGAAGCAAGGCAAATTGACATCCTTGAGTTTTTCCTCCCAGTATTCATTTTATAGTGGATAAGCATTTCTACTTCAATATACCTCTGAATATTATTATTATATTAAACACTCAAAGAGCACAGGATTGATTTTAGTTCGGCACTCTACTCAATCTGCCAAGAACTGGTCAAGAATACAATCTAGTCATTAAGATAGAGATTCAAGTCTAGAATTGCAATTTCGATTTATTGGTGTTCCATTTCAATTCCCTGGTATATGTTTTGACCTATGAATAATATACTCTAACACTTTTACACACTGATAAGCCATGGAGAAATACCAGATAGACAGTAGATGTAAATATTTGATTATAGGTGCCTCTATCTGTGGCAGTTATGCACATTGCCTAGTTTATTTTCTATACTGATTATCAAGTTGACATGTGAGAAAAATATATAGACTGGTGAACGATATAAAATTGTATCTTTGATAGGTACTGGATGTAACTATCTACAATATATCGAGATGTTCCTGTGCTAAATTCCAAGCAAATAAATGGCAAAAAATACAACAAAAATAACAAGGGTTAGCTATGAAAGAAGTCTAATTGAGCAGATTTAACACTTGTATACCTCTAACATAAAATGTGAAAATATTGCCTAAATTCATACTACTGTATGAATAGGTTGAATGCAAGTTTGTTGGTAGGGTGGGTGGGTAGATTGGGGGGGGGGGAGTTAATACTTTGCACCACCTACTGGAGAGAATGAATTATTATTTTTTTATGATAGAATGAAACTGATAGATTTCTTCCAGGTTGCAGCACTACATATACTTGACTGGAAATGTCACACAAAATCACCTTCTCAGTTTTCTAGTTCACAAAATGTTGTAAGCCTTACATTAAGCCTTAAATTTTTATTGTAAATCTAATCAAAACTGAGGTTCCAAAATCAAGCAAAATATATATATTTAACCATCTCCAACAAACACTAATAATATATTCCACTATTTATTGACTGCTCATGTCTTTCTGTATTGCCAGTTCTATAGGGATCTTCAACACCATTTAATTACTCCTCTTTTATTTAAATTTCTGGGGCACTGATAGCTTTTATTTGCACTATTAAACACTGTTTTCTGTTTAAAAAAAGTAAGATAAAAATTATTTCTCTAAAGTGGCAAACTTTTCTTACATTATGTATAAACTTTGCCCACAAGTTGTGCTAACAGTTCTTATTGTTAGGAGATAGTTTTGTGTTGTTCATTTTATTGATTGTACTTTTATTAGACAATGTCTGAAAAAAGTTTCTGTCTGGCTACAAATGATGAATAAATCACTCAATAGCCATTTATTTACTGCAAGGTTAGGCAGCCTATTATGATGGATGGACTGTCAACCTGTGACTAATCTCTGGAATTTCATCATAAAATTCTCATCATAAGATGTCAATAAATTAAAAAGTACAAATAATGTGAGGTAATGTGTTTGTTTGCTGTGTAGTGCCACAAAAATTTAATAAAAGACCAATAACTTCCAAACCTTACATTCCATTCTAGGACAGGAGAATATCAATGTCTACAAAACAATAAAATGGAATTTGGAAATGGATAAAGCTTGTACCAATTGAAAAAAAAATGGAAAGATGCAGGAAGTATTTTATACAATCTTGAATAAATCCAAAAATGCTTAGTGCCAAACAAAAAAGCAAAAACAATTGGACGAAAATACATACATGGTTGGGAAAAAATGTTAAGACAGCATATAGACTACAAACCAGAATTATTTCTGTTAGGCAAACCAGAAAAATATGATAAAGGAAAGGTATATTTAATATTACATGTTTTGACAGCAGCTAGAACTGTATTTGCACAATACTGGAAAAGTGAGAAAACACCCACAGAAGAGATAATTTAAAAAAATATGATACTGTGCAGAAATGGCAGATTAACAATGAAGATAAAAGAAAAGGAAGACACAAAATATTTTAAAATTTGGAACTTATTTTATCAATGGTTGGATAATAGAGGTAGAAATTAGGAGTTTAATATTATTATGTAAACAAACTGACCCAGATAGTATGCTGTCCACAAATCATTTATTGCATACAAAGAGAAAATATATAATTTTTTTTTTAAAGGGGAAAAAACATGACAGTCAAAGACTCAAGAAGAACAACTGTTGGCAAGACAATCAGTCAATAAATAAGGTTCATCTGATCCCCAGAAATATTTCTACAAGTGAAACAAAACTTACCGTACACATGGAAGTCTTGGTGACCATCAAGACGAAGTCAGATGAAAATTCCAATTCTGGAACTGAGACAACATGGCAGTCTATCCGCTGCAAGGTAGAACAAATATGAGTTTGATGACCAAACAAAAGAAAGTTATATATGGATTTTGGAGTGGCTGATAACTATTTTAACTTTCAGGTTTTATAGTTCTCAGCATTCTCAGATGGAACAATTCTATGGGAAGAGTGTAAGATGCACAAACGTACCATCAGGGATACCTGGAAGACAGTGCTAAAGGCCAAAGGGTCACTCCCCCCGCCCCTTGGTATCAAAGGCATTTACCTCAGCAAAACCTGTTATTTGTAAGATCGATATATAATTATATGTGTGAACTCAAGCCAAAAATACATAATTTTGCTCTCAGTTTTGAGTTCAGGACTATTAATTGCTTTTTTAATTGCTGCTTGCTAACACTGAGTGGTGAAATAACTTTTGAAAATGCTAAAAGTAGCTTGCAATGCAGTCTGCATAACTTCAAAAACGCTCCGTGCTGACTAAGGATCAGAAGATACACTTTTTTTCATTGCATTATTCATCGCTCCATATCACAGCAATGTTACATTTTTAACTTTTTCTTTTTAAAAAAAACCCTGTCTGTCATTCTAACAAATCTGTCTCATAGTGTGGTACCTAGAAGTTGGTCTTCTCAGTGGTGGCACTCCAGTTATAAATACCCTTTCTCTTGAGATAAGCTCATCTGGTTCCTTTTCTATTGTGTTTTAAGCAACAAATGAACACATGACTGTCTTCTCTAGTTTTTGCAGGGCAACTATTACTTCAGGACCAGTCTTCCTTTCCAAAATGATTTTTTTTTAATTATTTGATTTATGGCAGAATTTTAAAAGTCATTTTTGTACATAGCTCTTGGTTTGGGAACACTGTAAAAATATGTTTTTTAAACTTCAACAAATGTGAAAATAGTATAAATGATTTTACAAGTGAATCATGAAAATGGAGAGTTGTTATGTTTTCTCTGTGCAGTGAAGATAAAAATTCTTCCACTGTAAAAAATAGAATACCCTTCCAACAACAAATAAAAATGGCCAAACCAAATAAATAATCCATTTTTCCACTTAAGATAAGGATGAAACAATGGTTATGAGATTCAGACTAAATACTTACACCTAATATTTCATATACCAACCTCCTAAGACTGGAACAAACTACCAGAAGCTTGAAATCTATTCTTGAGTATTTTCAAGAAGACACTAATATTTATTATATATCTATAGTGGAGCCAGAAAATCTATTCTCCTCTTTATAGCCCAGCAATTCTATTATACTCATTCAGTTTACAAATGATGTTCAGGAATTGTTCAACCCATAAAATAGAAACATCCTTGAAAATGTACCCAGTTCAGTCTTGCATATTAACAGATTTTCATGAACGTAAATAGAGTATGACAAAGGCATTATTCATATTCACCCACATTTGACTGCCGAATGTATATTCTTTGACATTGCATGATAAATAAAGCACATTTTTATAATTTCCTGGATATTTCAAAATCACCAGTTCTAGAAAGCCGCTATTAATCTTGGTTATTTACTCATAATGACACTCTCAGTCGATTCCTTAGTTTTATTATACAGGAAAAAAAGTTTAGAATGTAAAAAAATTATCTGAAAGCTTTTATCAACCAGATATTTTCTCTGTTTTAAAACTATAACTTTTCTTAATCTCTTTTTTTGCTCTCTTTGAGTCCAAATTGACTCAAATGACTGCCTGGACTGATCCCTGCATTTTTAACGTGGTTTCATAAGTGCTTATCACTGGCTTCTTCCTAGGGCTGAAAGTTAGTGAGTGGCCCAGGGTCACCCAGCTGACATTGTGCTCAGGTCAGGAATAGAATTCTCTTGGTTTCTAGCCTGACGCCTTAACCATTACATAAACTGACTTTAAAGCACTGAAAAGAGAGTGAGAGAATTCATCATTCTGCTGGGTATGAAAATCTGTAGAGATTCTCAGTCATTCAAGTCACGGTGCACCTTGTCCCAAAGGTGCTTTTCCAGGAGACAATTTGTTTTTTTCTTTCAAAGACATTTCGCTTCTCATCCAAGAAGCTTTTTCAGCTCTGGCAGGATAGATCCTTCCATTCCCCACTGACCTGCCAGAGATGAAGAAGCTTCTTGGATGAGAAGCAAAATGTCTTCAAAAGAAAAAAACAAGAAAGTCCAGTTGTCTCCTGAAAAAACACCTTTGGGACAAGCTGGGTATGCTTATTATTTACTGGAATCCTAAACTACAGGACCCCTGTTTTTCCAGAGGACTAAACCTGAAACAAGGTGGTTTTGGATATACAGGTAGTCCTCGACTTACAACCACAACTGAGCCCACAATTTCTGTTGCTGAGTGAGACATTTGTTAAATGAGCTTTGTCCCATTTAACAACTTTTCCTGCCACAGTTAAGTGAATCACTGCAGTTCTTAAAGTTAGTAACGTGGTTGTTAAGTGAATCTGGTTTCACCATTGGTTTTACTGGTCAGAAGGTCACAAAAGGTGATCCCATAACCCCTGGACACTGCAACTGTCGTAAATATGAGCCAGTTGCCGAGCGTCCAAATTTTGATCATGTGATCACGGGGATGCTGCAACAGTTGTAATTGTGAAAAATGTTCTAAGTCACTTTTTGTAGTGCCATTGTAACTTTGAACAGTCACTAAATGAACTGTTGTAAATTGAGGACTACCTGTACATTATTTGCAGACTGCTAATAGATGAAATTCTGTAATTACAATTTGAAATCTGAAATACAGTGCAGTGTGACCTATTTTAATCAAGATGAGATAGCGTTAGCACCAGACCAGCCTTTCTCACCCTAGCCATCACCATGGATTTCAACTGCCATGAATTCTGAGAATAAAATTTCACAGATCTAAAGAGAACCCAAGTTAAGAGGATGCTCTAAATTGGAAGCCAACTGATTTCAGTGTATCAGATGAACTGCAATATCGTGTCTTTCTTCTGTACTATAGCAGGAGAATCAAAGAAATGATCTTTCCTCCAGATAATTTGACACAGTTTCAAAATGCAAATAAAGAAAATAATATCCGTGTTTTAGGAAGTAGTAGTGGATTGTGAGTAATGAAATATCTGCAAGGAAACGACCAAGCTCAGAAAGCACCAAGGACTCCACATTGAAACTAGGTAAAGATCTAACATCCAATGTTTATTTGTAGGGAAAGCCATATACTGATACTATACTTTATATTATTACTTTCTGACTACAATGGAGATGAATATCTGCTCAGGAAAAATGGGGAAATGTTATTTTTTTCTACAAATATGTAAAATAGAGAATATTAATTAATCATAGCTCCAGAAAAATATAGTTTGCTAGTCATATCAAGAGAGCTTGTGAGGAAAAGAGAAAGGAACATAGGGTTATGATGTCAATGTTTAAATTATATAATAGATCAGGGTGTCACACTCGCATCGTCATGACAGTGTCACATTACGTACCATGACTTTTTTTCACCTTTGCTAAACCAGGCATGGGTATGGCCAGTGCGTGACGTATGTGGCCTGCGGGCTGTGAGTTTACAGCCCTGTAATAGACTTTGGTTGAAATTACTGCAAATAAGCCAGGACATCTGTAATCAATAGTTGAGTGGCAGATAACTCTTATTAACACACACACACACACACACACACCGGAGGGGGGAATTAGGAAGCAAGGATGGAAACATACGATCAAAAGACTAAAACTCCACAGTGATAATTCCAAAACTTAAAACACCATGGACTTCATATTGTTATTGATCAAAGACCAAAAGTCATTATATTCATCTTCTATGATGACAACTTTATATAAAAACAGTTCACAAAGAGAATAAAGAAAAGATTATTTTTTTTGGAAGATGCTATTCTCTGTCACATTACCTTGATGATACAAGCTTCAGATATGAGAGTCCTCGAATCTAAGACGTCCACAACTGCTTCAGGCATTACCACCTTTTTCATGCAGGACATATTGAAGCCATATACATCATCCCAGAAAGTCAATTGATCGGTATGCTTAGCGATATCACTTACAGCCACCAGGCTAATGGAACAGGAGTCAGGATACACTGCAATCAGATAAATGATTCAATAGTGAGGACTGTGCAGGAGCAAATTCTGTACAGGAGAAGCCAAATGCTATTAAACATGCTGGAGGAAAACAAAACATTTAAATTCAGCAATTCCACAGCTACATCTCTGAAACAAGGTCCTCTAGGACTACAAGAGATATGTGTTTCTATGAACAGAGTACAAAACAGCTGTAACAATTGTAGGATGTTCTTTTGCTGGGATGTGAAAGGGGAGAAGAAGAGCTTTAAGTCTATCAGCGGTATAACCAAAATCTACAGTATAAAAGAGAAAATACAAACAACTTTGAACAAGTATACAGGTGATCCTTGACTTACAGCAGTTCATTTAGTGACTGTTCAAAGTTACAACGGCACTGAAAAATGTGCATCATGTGATCAAAATTTGAACATATGGCAACTGATTCATACTTATGACCCTTGCAGCAGCATCCCAGGGGCCCCTTTTGCAAGCAAAGTCAATGGGGAAGCCAGATTCACTTAATAACTGTGTTACTGAGTTATCACCTACAGTGATTTACTTAACAACTGTGGCAAGGAATGTTATAAAATGGGAGGCAAAATTCACTTAACAAACGTCTAGCTTAACAACAGAAATTTGGGGTTCATTTATGGTTGAGTCGAGGACTACTTGTACTTGATTTTTCTAAGAAACATTCTTATTCAACTTCTAAATTATTGTAATTTGATTTATATCCTATCTTTCTACTCAATTTGAGCACAGGAGAGAGTGCAAAAAGGTACTAGACAGCTGAGTCAGTAAAAGCAGCGAAGTCTCCAAAGGGATCTTAAGGTTCATGCAGCTTTGTAAGAGGAGAGATGGTATCGTACACCGGTATTTCTCAACGTTGGCAACTTTAAGATGTGGGCACTTCAATTCCTTACAATGCTGAGGAATTCTAGGGGTCAAAGCCCACACACCTTAAAGTTGCCAAGGCTGAGAAACATTGTCTTAGACAGTCCACGTTTGAGGTCTTTCAGGATTTTTAAAATTCATATCAATATTTTAAAATAGTGATATAAACTTTATAGAAATATTTAACAACCAGTGTAGATTTTTCAGGTATCATCTTTTTTTCTTGTACTATCTAGCAGGCTGGTTGTACCATTTTGCACCAAGTGCAGCAGTCTAGATCAGAGCTGTCAAATTCCCAGCCCATGGGCCAGATGCATCACGCACTGGCCACGGCCACGCCCCATTTAGCAAAGGGGGGGAAAGTTCCGATACGTCACTTGACGCTGCCATGACGACGTGAGTTTGACACCCCTGGTCTAGCTATTGAGATCAAAAGGCCTAAAGAGCACTGAAATAGGCAAATTTGTTGTATCTATTTATAATCAATATGCTGAATATGCTATAGTTTTGATGCTTATTCAGAATTAAACATTTGGAGGAAGTAATCAACATTACAGGATGAACAATTAGCAATAGCAATAGCAGTTAGACTTATATACCGCTTCATAGGGCTTTCAGCCCTTCATAGGGCTTTCAGCCCTT